CAGCCCCCAAGCCCATAGAGCAGGGCAGAGAAGGATAAAGAATGGATGTAGGTGTGCCAAGAAAGCCTGAGGTGGGCTACCCGGGCAAGTAAGAAGGAAAGGGACTCAACACACAGAGAGAAATGAGCCTCATTTTGGAGAATAATGATCTAATCTTTGGTGAAACCAAGGAGGGGGCTCTCTGGAGATCCAGAAAATCAAGGGGAGGGGCTGGTCAAATTATTTAGAGAGGGAGGGGCACTGAGTGGAGAGGGCAGGGAAGCATTGTGGATTATGGTGTAGAGTAAGAGTAGGTTATGGGTGACTCCCTGGGTTGAACTGCTTATGGTTGGAGGTGGGTCAGAGTCTCTGGGATGGCAGTAGAGCATGTGGCGCTTGCTTGATGGACTGTCCTCTTGGAGAGAGGCTGGTGGTTATGTATGTATGTATTTATTTTTTAAAGGTTGACTTTTTAAAAATTAAGTTTTTATTGATTTTAGAAAGGGGAAGGGAGAGGGATAGAGAGATAGAAAACCATAAGAGAGAATCATTGATCAGCTGCCTCCTACCTGCCCCCTACTGGGGATCTAGCCTGCAACCAGGGCATGTGCCCTGATGGGGAATCGAATCATGACCTCCCGGTTCATGGGTCAATGCTCAACCACTGAGCTACCCCAACCAGGCACAGTGACTCTCTTTAGATGAAGATCTCCTGAAGTCAAAGTTGGGATAATTTCCGTAGGTTGCTCAGGAAGAGGGATTGCACCTCCTGTACAGAGGCAATAATGGAGTCAGTCCCTGTTCTCAAGGAAGGGCACCTCTGTGGGGGCATATTTTTCTACCCCACCTTGGGCTTCCCATCCCACACATAGACTAACTGCACCCACAAGCCTCAACCACCATGTCAGGTATGTCAGTCTTAACAATGTTGCTGTCCCTGTCATAGTAGAGCAGAGACAGGGGGCGCCGGACTGTGGGCACGCAACATGAACCCCCTCCAGGGGTGCCTGTAGCTGCGTTGGCCTTGAGAAGATTGAGCACGGTGGTGTGAAAGGAGGCAGCAATGCCGGGCATGCCTGCTACATGCAGTGGGCACTGCCCTGTGCAGAAGTTCATTGAGTAGCCCTCAGGCTGGATGATCCAGTCATGCCAGCCAATCTCACGGAAGTCCACAAAGAACTCTTGTCGACAGCACATCTTGGACCCACTCTGGCAGTTGATGCCATGACGTCGAATCCGGTGCTTGCTCCCAACTCTCACCCGGGCTGCCACAAAAGGCCTCTGGGCAGCCCCACTCAGGATGACTGAGCTCTCGGCTACCTGGCCTTCAGGTACAAGCTCCAGGGTCAGGTGTCCCTGGCTGCAGGCAGCCTGAGCTTCAGGCCCCAGAAGGAGCTGGTGCCAGCCACTGGC